GAGTCCAGCGATTTAACTGCTATGCCATCTGCTGGCCCCCCTCCCCAATTTTTTTTTAAGTTTATTTATTGGGTCAGCAGGTGGCATGGTTTTGGGGCTGCTGGATCCCACATAGTTAACTCTGTGGTTGGAGTCCCAGACCCAGCAGCTTGCAAAACACGCTGGGCGCATGTGCATGCATGCCCAAAATCCCAAGAGGAGAATGGAGGAGAAGGGATTGCGGCATGGCCATACCCTGGCGTGTGATTTCTCACTTTCCCTCTCTCTCTCAGTATCTCTCCAATGAGCATATGTGCCCTATGGCAAAAATCTAATTTAAAAAAGTTTATTTATTTCTTCCATGAGAGATGGAGAGAGCAAGTGAGAGGGGCAGGCACCCTTGACAGGATGCAGGCAGTGTGGTGTGATGGTTCAGCTCCTGGCTCTGCAGACAGCCTGGGGAAGCCCAGCCCCAGCCACATTTCCTCATGTGGACAATGCAGGTAACAGAAACCATCACAGAGGAGTGAGGGTTAAACAGGGTAATGTGTGTGAAGCACAGTTCCTGGGACCCAGGAAATACTCGGTGTATTTTGTGACTAATTCAGTGAGTTATTACTATTATATTAATATTATTAGTGGCAGTCATTTTTTTTTCTCTGTGCTAGGCCGCCTCTCACGGTTTCATTTGCTTTCCTGTAGATGAATTCTGTTTCATCTCGAACGCTGGGTGAATTTCCAGCAGTGATTGAGGCAGATTACCCTGTGGTTGATAGAACTGTTATTACAGTTCGGTGATAAAGGCTCAATTTTATTCTGATGTAAAGAATTTACGAGGAGGCGGCGGGGAGGTTTGTTGTCCTCCTTAGTATTCCGAGGGGCTGTGCAGAGCTCGCTGCCATCTGTGTGTTCCTGGGCTTCCTGCAGCCACCCAGATCCCCTGGCTCCTCCTTCCTGGAATCTTCTAGTCCTGGAGCAGGCAGGACCCAGGTGGGAGTGGGGGGTGAAGAGGGATGGGCTCCAGGTACCAGTAAGTGGATTGGGGTCCTGGAGTATACACCCCAGGCCTGGCCTGGCCTCCTGTGCCCTGAAAACACAACATAGGGGTGGGGTGAGGGAGCTCTGTGCAGTTAGGCACTGGGGTTCCAGGGAAAGCAGATTAACTGCCTTCCCCCTAGCCTGAGCTTCCTTTCCTCAGCCCACCACCATCCTAAGGCATCTCCTCCTGGAGGATCTTCAGAAAGTTGTCCCCTCTCCTGTCCCCTCCCCCAGAGCCTTCTGACTTACAGATCTGAGCCTGACACTCCTGCTCAAAGCCCAGGCTTCCTGGGAGAATCGTACCCCTGCTTTTCCCTCTGCTCCATGCTCCAGCGCACGGAGCCCTCCGGGTGAGACTGACAACCATGCTCTGTCCTGTTTCTGGGCTGTATTTTAGTGCACGCTGTTGCTCCTGGAAGACTCATCTTCCCACCTGTTTCTCTGGCTGCCCTTCAGTCTTTGAGGCTCAGTGGTTGTATCTGAGGCACCATGTTGAGGCCTGGCTCCTAGAATAGACCCTGGGACTGAGCTTTGCCTGGAAGAGGCAGCTCAGAGAGTCCCAGAGCAGACAGATAATGCCCCCTGCTCTGAAGACGTCCACCTCCTCCTCCTCCTGGAACCTGTGAATAGTCTCCTATAGGCACAAGGAGCTAGCAGGTACAGTTAAGCGAAAGGTCCTGAGATGGGGAGTTATCCCAGGTGATAAGCAGGCCCAGTGTCATCACAGGGTCATGATGAGAGGGAGACAGGAGGGGCGGGCAGAGAAAGGGAGAGTGAGGCTGGAGGCAGAGCCTGAGTGAGCAGACGATGCTCCTGCACTCGCAGCTTTGAGCATGGAGGCTGGGACAGGGGGCGGGGAATGCAAGTGCCTCCAGGAGCCAGCAAAGGAGGAACGAGAGCTTCCAGAAGGATTGTAGACCAGATGGCCCATTTTACCCTCTGTCTTCCGGAGGTGATAACATAATGGATCCACTTTTTAAATTTTAAAAAACTTGACCAGGAGGTGCATGTACTCACTGAAGAGAGAAAGAGAGACAGAGAGTAAGGAAGCACGCCACCACCACCACCGCCGCCGTGGGGGACAGTCATGTCACAGTCCCTTCTCCCCCATTTCCTCCTTTCAGGATTTTGGGCACTAGCACACATACACAGGCATGTTTTCTTTCTTTCTTTTTTTTTATCTTTACTTATTTTACTTTAATTTGACGAGAGAGGAACAGAGAGAGAGAAAGCAAGCTGCCAGGTCTGAGACTCAAACTGTGGTCGGCCATGTGGGAGTCCAGCGCCCTTAACCACCACGCCACCTGCCAGCCCCAATATAGGCATGTTTTTCAAGCCTCTGGGTTCGGAGCTCGATTTGCGCAGTCGGCCATGGGGAATCCAGCCACTTTAACCACCAGGCCACCAGCTGGTCCTGTGTAGGACTGGCAGAGGGAGGACTGGCTTCAGTGTCATACAGCAGGGAACTGTGAGGGGCTGGCCCCGCAGAGTTGCCCTGACTGAGGCGGGAGGCAGGCCTGTCTTCACCCCATCTCTGGTGGCTGGGGAAGTTGAGGAGCTGCTGGGGAGGGCCAGTTCTCTGGGGCAGTTCTCAAGAAGGGACTTTCTGAACCATTAGTGGCCAACACGACCAGAAAGGTACCTTGGCCCTAAAAAGGGTCCCCACACTTTTGTGGGGGGAACAGGCAGCCCACAGTCTCTACTCAGCATTTCCTTACTACCCAGCGATGTCACGAGTGTCTTGAAGGGACCCAGTCAGGTCCTTCTCTGACAGCAGAGGCGAGGACCAGTGAGGGCTCGCATCCCCACGGCCTGTCCCCACTGGTGCAACAGCCCACGGCCCCGCCTCCCGTGGGGAAGGCCCCGGTGCTCTTTCCAGGTCAGACTTGCAGTAGCTTTGCTGGCCTGCCCGAGGTGCGGTCTGGAAGATGAGGAGAGCCAGGGTTTTCTGAGCACCTTCTCTGTGCCACAGGCATGATCCCAGGCAGGAATGGCAGGAGCCCTTCAGCTGGCAGAAGCCCACGGGGAGGCAAAAGACCCCTGCCCGACCCCTGGCAGGAGACTCCCAGGAGGCTCCAGACCTGGAGCAGGCTGGGGGGGACGGGGAGGAGACCCCCGGGGCAGGCAGAGTGGTGATGGTCCCGAGTCTGAGCTGAGCCTTGACCCTGAGGAGGGAAGATGGAAGGAGGAGTCTGGGCCTAGACCCCAGGACCTGAACAGTCACCCCCTATAAGGTGGCCAGTGGCAGTAGAGAGGGCACGTGACCCCCTGCTGTGAAGAATGTGTGAACACTGAAATGTCCAAGTGCTCTGGGATGTGGCGCAGGGGGACCCCTAGAGGTCACCTCCATCAGTGCCTTTTACACAGCTACCCTGTGACCCAGAGCGGGAGAGGGTCCTGCCCTCACTGAGAAAGTCCGAGCAGAGTTGGGGCAGAACCAGAATGTTCTAGGGGGTCGTCCAGGCTGTGGCCTGGGCCTCCTGGCAGGCCACAATAGATCCTGCTCTACAAGGAAGAGGAGGGGCTCCACAGCCTGGTGTCCCCGAAGGGCGTGGCTCCCTCCAGACCTTCTGATGCTGTCTCCTCTCCCTCTTGCAGGTGAACCTGGTGCTGGGGGATGGCCGGTCCCTGGGCCTCACCATCCGTGGGGGAGCTGAGTACGGCCTTGGCATTTACATCACCGGTGTGGACCCGGGCTCTGAGTCGGAAAGCAGCGGGCTCAAGGTGAGGGGAGGGGCTGGCGGAGGGAAGGCTCTGTTCCCTGAGCGCTTTGCCGCTGGTTTTAATCGGGCTTCCAGCAGAGTAGTCAGCACCCCACCTGGAGGACTGGGCCCAGCTGGGGCCCACCCCTGGCTGTGGATCCTTTAACCCACAGCTCAGAGCAGCAGGGGAGCCTCCTGCGTGGTTCTGGGCAGCAGGCCAGCCCCAGCTCTTCAGGGCTGCTGATTTGCAAACACCACGGACGGCCTGTGACGGCCCTGACTTCAGAGTTTGTCACGGTGTGTGGAGAGGGAAGAGAGGAAGCCATGAGCCGAGTTGGGTTGCACTTGCGAGCTTCGAGACTGGCATTCAGTCTGGGACAACTGGCATTATTAAAATGATATTTTGGCCCGCCAGTGGCGTGGTGGTGAAGGCAGCTGGACAGCATGGCCAACTGCGCAGCTCGTGTCCTGGTCTAGGCGGCATGTGTGCGTGCCCACATTCTGAACGGAGAAGGGATGGCTGCATCTCCCCGGAGGGTGCCTTCTTACTTTCTCTCTCCCTCTGTCTCTGTGTCTAGCAAGTGCATGTACCCTAGAGCAAATTTTAAAAAGAACGAAGTGAGATTATTGGCTCACACTTTACAGAGGGCCTGCATTTGTGATGCACTTCACACGTGTCATCCCGTTGAGTCTTTATGCTGCCCTGTGGGCTAACTTGTTGTTACCCACATTTTCCAGGTGGGGACACTGAGGCATAAAGTGATTTAACTGACTTGTCCAAGGTCACTCAGCTGGTGAGTTGCAGAGCAGGATTTAACTTAGGCGTCTTAATTCCAAAGCCCAAGTCTCAACTACTCCACTTGCAGAAGGGAGAGCCAGGAACTTGCTCTGGGAGGCAGAGACGCTGGACACTGGACCTGGGACGTAGATCACCAGGATGGATGGCAGTGTGTGTTGAGGCTAAATCCTGATGCCCAGGATGCCGTGGTCGCAGATGTGGAGTGGTGACCACGGGACAGGTGGCATTGAGCCAAGCCTTGGCTCAGAAGGAGGTGAATGGGAAAGCAGCTGGAGATGAAAGTAAGCCCCAGCTGAAGGACTGTGAGTTTGGCATGGTGAGCAGATGGGCCACCAGTCCGTGTGTGAGGCAGGGAGGACAGAGCATGAGGTGAGATCGTGCCTCTGATAAAGGGCCTGGAATGCCCCACCAATGCATATGGGCACCTCGTTCCCCACATAGAGGAGAAGAAGAGGTCATGGCGGATCAGCATGGCGCCTGCTGAAGTGTTGTGGTAGACAGGCTGGTGTGCTAGAGATGAGACTTCTGCTGGTTCTCTTAGGAAGTATGGCAGGCTGGGGAGGGCTCTGAGTTTGCAGACAGGAGGATCAGGTTCAAAGCCCGGTTTTCCTGCTTTTGCTCTCATTGCTGTGTGTCCTTGGAGAGTCCCTGCGCTGTCTGAGCTTCCCTTTCCTGTGTGATAATAGCAAGTAACATTCCCTTCTCAGGATTATTGAAAAGATCAAATGAGGAACACACTAATATTAACTATTATGGTAAGTGTTGCTATAGACTAAATGTTTGTGTCCCTTTAAAATTCATATACTGTAATCGTCATCCCCAAGGTGATGGTATTAGGAGGTGGGACCTTTGGGAGATGATTAAGTTATGAGGGTGGAGCCCTTGGGAATGGGATTAGTGCTCTTAAAAACAGGCTCCAGAAAACTGCCTTGGCCCTTCTACCATGTGAGGACACAGCAAGGAGGCAGCTTCTATAAACCAGAAGGCAGGCCCTTCAATGTCTACCAGACATTGAATCTGCTGATGCCTTGATTCAGGACTTCCAGCCTCCAGAACTGTGAGGAATAAATTCCTGTTGTTTAGAAGCCACCTTGCCTATGGTACGGTGTTACAACAGCCCAGAGGACCAACACACGTCACCATCGTCTCATCCTGCTATTGCTACCATAAGCATGAGAATTAGTGGGTATTGTGTGTGTGTTATTACCCAGGTACTGTTCCAAGCACTTGAGCCTCACATTGCCCTGAGAAAACAGGTCCTTTTGTGAGCCCCATTTTACAGTATCTGAGGCTCAGAGAGTTGTATGGTCGATAAGCTGTGAGTCAGAATTCCCATCCAGGAATCAGGAGTCTGGTTCTAGAGCCATGCTCATAACCAGGCCAGCCAGGCAGGCACCAGCTACCCCACAAATGTTGGTCGAGTCTAGTTGATTCTGAGATGCCTTGGGTCTGGGGCTTGCTATAGTTTCAGCAGGTAGAAGTGATGACTTTGTTGAAACTCCAGGAGGAAACAACCTCATGGTATTTTGTGTGCAATTTTTATTTAATACATTGGTTTTCATGGAATAATTTAGATTTAGCAAATGTTACAAAGAGAGTTCTCATTTACCCAGTGCCCAGCTTCCTGTAACGTTGACGTCATATGTAACTAGGGCACATCTCCCAAGACCAGGGGACTGGCGTTGTGTGACACTGTTCAATAGACCGCAGCCTTTATTCGGAGTTCACCAGTTTTTCCGCTAGTGTCTTTTTCCTGTTCTGGAGTCTAGTCCAGTCGGTTATAGCACGCTGCACTTAGTGTCTATGCAGTTTAATGCCATTTATCCCCCACCCCAATTTTAACAGAGGTTGGAGGCGATTTTTAAACACAGTAAAAACATTTTTTGCTGTGAGTGAGGAAATTGGGGGGAAGAAAAATGGGGACAGAGAGAAAGAGAGGAGCTGGGCTGAGGTCCTTCCCCAGGGCGCCTGCCCCGTGGGACTGCAGCCCCAGCCACAGTCAGGCCACGGATTTCGTTCTGATCTCCCTGACACACAGAGCAAAGCACCTTTGTGGTCTCTGTAAGGTTAAAAAGAAAGCTATGCTTGAGAAGCCCAGTTTGTTCTTTCTCCAGAGGCCTCAGAGCGATTTTCTCTGGTCCTTCTTTAAGAGGAGGCTGTGTGATGCCGAACTCAGCGTCTTTCCTTGATGTCAGGCGCTGCGCCACTGGGCTCCGCCCTCGGCTGATGGTGAACCTATTCTGACTGAATCCATGGTAGGGGAAGGAGAGAGGAAGCCTGCGAGAACACAGCGTCTCTTACTCCCTGATTACTGACGGCTGCACCTCTTAGGACCAGCTCATCTCTTTATTGAGCAGCTACCACGAGGGCACTTCGAAAGCCCATGGGGAAATGGAATTGAAGTACAAGTTTATTTTGGTGCAAAAAAAGATTGAAGTCCATGTAGAGTTTTTTTCATAATGCACAGTTTTCATGACTATTTCAAAGACCCCTTCATAGACCAGGCACTGGGATCAATGCTTCCATTCATTATTTTATTTAATTTTTGCAACAAATTATGAAAAAGGAATGTGCTTTTCCCATGTTTACAGGTGGCAGATTTCAGAGCAGTGATAAGCAACCTGCCTAGGGTCACCCGGCTGAGAGGTGTTAGAGGTGGGATTTGAACTCACCCCACCAAAGTCTAAGTTTATGTTTTGTTCTGTTTTTGAGAGATTTTTGCTATAGGGTGCATGCATTCACTAGAGAGACAGAGAGACAGACAGTGAGAAATCAGCCCCCAACGAGGATGGCCACCCCACAATCCCTTCTCCATTCTCCTTTTGGGATTTTGGGCAAGCATGCATAGGAGCCTGGCATGAGTTTCAAGCCACTGAGTCTGGGATTCAAACTGTCGGCCACATGGCAATCCAGCAACGTAACCATCATGTCATCTGCTGATCCCTAAGTTGATGTTCTTAAGCACTGTGTTATACCCTCCTCAGTGACAATGTAGGTATATTGCCCCCAGTTTGCAGCAGAAAAAAACACAGCTCAGAATTGAACTGACTTACCCAAGGTCAAATTCTTTCTAATGTCAGAGGTGAGATTTGAACCCAAGATCTGACCAAGGCTGGGACTGCCTTATGCAGGGTACAGGAGTCCTGGGACCTGCTGCTTACCAGCTGCTCACTATGAGGCTAGCTGATCTTTGAAGTTTTCTCTGAGGTCTGCATATTTTCCCAGCTGGGGGGCCAGGGGTGCCCAGACACCAGGAATATACTCCATTCTCCTTCACCTGTAGGTTCCCAAAACCGTAGAGAGATGCCGAAACCAGTAACCTGCTGGCAGATCCCATTTGCTGTGGAAGGAAGGAGGTGGAAATTACATGCAGGGGGTGTCCATGGCTGCCCCCTCTCCCTTCCCTTCTGTTTAATCAGCAGGACACTACTGATGACGCCTCTGTGCCACACATAACACTCTGCAGCTTCCGGCCACAGCATGGACAGTCTCTGACCTCCTAAAACTCATGTTCTACTGAGAGGATGAGGCAGGGAATAAAAAGCAAAAGCAAATTACACAACTGTTTAATTACAGTTATGATAAATACCAAGATCCGAACCACACCAAGCCATGTGAATGGGTAACAAGGGAGATTAGTCCTGGTCTTGGCTATCTGGGAAGGCTTCCCGGAGAAAGAAATAGTTCGGTTGAAATGACAAGAAGAGAACAAAACTAATTATGTGAACAAGGAAGTCCAAATTTCAGGCAGGAAGAATAGCAAATGATAGGTCCCTGAAGGGGTAAGAAGCATTCCCAGTTGTAGAGGAAGGCCAGTGTGGCTGAGGGCGGAAAGCTGGGTTGGGAGCGAGTGCGGATGATGCTGGTGAGGCAAACAGAACCAAGCACGTGGCGCAGGGCATGTACTGCCCTCGCGGTCATGCAGCCGTGAAAAGAATGTGATCGGGATCTGCACTTAGAGATGTGGGAGGTTGTCCAAGGTCTCTTATTCAGTGGGAAACACAGGCTGTAAAACAAAGGGTGTCTAAGAGGACCTCGTCTGTATTGTAAGTATGCAGAAATATGCTTCGACAACAGACACCGGACACACACCAAGATGTCAAGGGTGGTGATCCTGAGGGGTAAGATTATGGGTGGTGTTCACTGTCTTCTCCACGTCCTTCCACAGGATCCGAATGCAGCAAGCATTACTTCTATAATCATGAAAACACCGACAATAAAGC